GACGCAGTGACCTGTCCGTTCCCAAAGCAAAAGATGCAGGAATATGAGGGTGGCTGCTCACTCGGGCCGAAGGTGTATAGGTTGTGAGAACAGGCCCCACACCCAAACCCCTTTTTTGGATTTTTTGCCTCAAATGAATACCCCCCTGAGAACCGAGGTCCGCAAGCGCACAGTTCGCCAGGACCAGAGACAGTTGAAGCCCCTTGAACCTTGAACTTCGAACCTTGAACCCTAAACCCTAAACCCAAACCCTAAACCCCAAACCGTGAACCTTGAGCCCTAAGCCCTCAACCCTAAACTAACCCTCAACCCTAAACCCCAAACCATAAACCCGGAACCCTAAACCCTAGACCCAACCCTTATTGCTTGGGGTCCAGCGACTTGGGCGCTGCAGAATCACCATGCTCACGTGGATGCGCTGGGCCGGGCCGGGCCGAGGCGGGTCGCGTAGCGTTAAAATTAAGGTTCCCACTTCCTGTAAAACCCTGAGTGTGCTGGGGTCACAAACCACGATGTGCTTCGTCGTGGGCGCGGCGTTCGCAGAAATTGCAGCCGCTCCAGCAGACAGGCACAGCGAGGTTGCCTCTTGCTTTAAACCCTTACGCCCCAGATCCTGACTGTAGAAGAGCAAGGCCCTTATACATCAGGTTGTGCTAAGCAAGGCTGTCAGCATCACGCAGTGCTCCGGTCTTTTTTGTCAGAGTTTGGGCATTTGTGCCATGAAGAATGGGGCTATCTTCGTTGTGTCCGTGGCCACCACTGTGCTCTTAAGACCTTCTCCGAACACACCGAAGCCGTAAAGCCCCCCCCATCTTTTCTTGAACCGCGGCCCTAGAGATTTCACTCACTAGGATCACCCGATCATCCCCGATCTCGGAATCCTTGACTTCCCGGCGCCTGCCCTTCATGAAGCGGCCGGTGCACACGTGCAGACTCGTCGAACCAGAAACGACGCTTGGATTTCAGCCTTGCGCAGCCCACGCAAGGCACTTTCAGGACGAGAGTCCCTGGCTCCCAAACCCTCCAAATCCGAAGCCCTTCTTCCTGAAACCTCTGCATGGCTTGTGGGCTTCTGCGCCTCACTCTTTGAAACGCTTAGGTATTTCTGGTATTCAAGGTCTTTAGGACCTTCGGAGAACGGCTGCCGAGATGTTCAGGAGTGTTTGCAGATTGGCTGATCGGGCCGGGCGAACAGCGAGTGGCCTAACAAGCCTTCAGGGCTGCCTCGAAGAGCCGAGCGCGGCCCTCTAATCGTCTAAGATGCTTCGACATGCTTTAAGCATCCCTCGAGAAACCACATCGGGTCACGTGGGACTCTGCGAAGCAACCAAAAAGCCGTGCTGCACATTATTGTCGCCGAGCGAAGCCATTGGAGGACACAACTTAAGACACCCATGGCACTTGACACACCAATGGCAAGTGGCTCAAAGTAGACATCCTTGTCCTTGCGCAGCAGAAGAGGCTAACTTCTGAAAGCTGAGGTTGCGTAGGGACCCAGGGCCGATTGGGTTCGTGTGTGGCGAAAGGACCGTTAGGAGGTCAGGCAAGAGGTCAAAGAGGTCAAATGTGGAGACTTCAGGTCGGCCCGCCATGTGGGGAAGCATGCGTCGTAAGGCACCGTGAAGGCACAACTGCAGAAAGCCCTTGGTCCCTCGGAACTGCACAGCACGGCAGCCCGACATGTCCTTGTTGTACAGCCAACCAACTGTGCTGCAGGTCGCAAAGCCACTAGGGATCTGCTCTTCCTCACGGGGTCAGGCACTGGTAAAACTCCACAAGCCCTGAGCAAACTTTACACTTCCGCAAGCTGAAACCACAGTGATTTCACGTGGTGCAGTCGAAAATCGGATTGTCACCGCGCGAGCAGCAAAAACAAGAGGTATGGCGAAAACTTCAGTAGCATTGGACATAGCTGAATTTCACCAGTCGTTCTAGTCTCTCCTCGACACGCAAGAAGCCCAGCCTCAGGCAAGTCCTTCTCAACGAAAAGGTCCGGCCGCTCCTGCTCAGGAGAGGTAAAGTTCAACCACCGCAAACGTCAAGAGGCTTCACCTCTGCAACAAGACGAGGTGCATGCTCGATGGCCGGGCTCGATTCTTCCGAGATCTTCAACCAAACTCGCATGAAGCTGGCAAGCCCTCACACTACACAAACTCTTAAAGCGCAGGCCCATCATTTGAATTCACTAACCGCCTGCCTGTGACTTAGACCCGAGCCCTTTGAGCTTGCCCAGCCTGCTTGAGCCGCCACATGTGGGTGCCCTTGCCTGGGATGTCACTGAGCCACTTGCTGTTGGAGGTTCGAGCACATGTATGGCTGGACCATGCTGGAACCTCAAGTGTGATTTGCGCAAGTATTGTGAACTGGTCTCTTCATGTCTCTTCGTCGTGGGTTCACCAGCGGCATTCAGAGAAGAGTAATGTCTGCAGCTTACGTGCCCGGATTCTTCACATCTCATATTGCAGGAGGGCAGCCATTTCCAGCATAAACAAAGCCACCTTTGGTCTCCCGCTCCTTCCGAGGCAGGTGCTTCTGTTCCTGACCTCACTAGTCAAAGGTTGCGAAAAGGAGCTGGCTCCCAACCAACAATGATTTACAAACTGAGAAAGTGCCGGGTAGGCTATGTGCCTAATTGAAACCATGTCGTTGGACCGCAAGGCATGCCGGAGGCACGAATGCAACCCTGCCTGTCCTGGCCCGTTGTCTGAACTGTGGGCGAGAAGCTCATGACAGCCTCTTTGCCCGCCAGGCAGAACTTGTGAGATGGCTAAGCTTGCTTGATTCTATTCCTCCCTGCCCCTCAACTCCAGATGTTGCGTGCCATTCGCAGGCAGTGTACACTGCGACTGGCCGAAGCAATTCGAAATGTCAGCTGATCGGTCTGCTCCCAGTCTGCAGCATGCCGAGCCTGGCTCGGCTCCCCGGCTGCAGCGCCGCAGACCAGCCCATGCAGCGCAGCGCGCACTCTGCTGGTGCTGAAAAAGGCTCTTTATTGTGTAGGCTTTTCTCAAGACCTGAAAACCTCCTTGAAGGTACCAGTAGGTTGGGTGTTCCATAGCTCATGGCTGAGGCCACTCGGGCAAAGTTCGGCCTTGCAGGGCTGCCTCTTGTCCATCTATCCATGGCTAGCGGCTTGAAGCTGGATGTTTCACAGCCATAGACCCGACAGTCCTTAAGATATTTCTGTAGATCTGGCGTGATATCGTGCGATCCTACGATCCCTGCCGTATTGCATAAGTCTGTTTCGGCTGCGGGCAGCGGGTAAGCATGTGATCAGCAGTGAGAGGGATGAGGAAGCTCTGGCGCCCTTTTTGGCTACCATGTGACATGTTCGTTTACAGATGCTAAGACAATGCTTTTAAGGCATCGCCACACAACAGTGTGGTAAGACACGGCAGGAGTAAAATGTGCTCTCTTTTCAACTGAGTAGAGGGCAAAGGCTGCGCAAAGAGAATGCGTACTTTGAGGTGAAGTTGAAAGAGTCACACAAAGTACGCAAGGAACTACCCTCTCTGCTCGGCAACAGCCCAAGCCTGCAGCAAGCGGCACACGCCAGTGTAGTGCGCCTCTGCGAATCATCGTCATCTGATATCATCTAAATGTTTCAGCAAGGCTAGTAGCCGAGTAGACAAGTACCTGCACCCTCCCTCTCAATCTTCAGCCAGGCTCTAGGTCCGAAAGGAAGTTTCTCGCTGGAGGCCTTATCATCTGCCAGCCGCCGCTGTGCCGGTGTACAGCCCTCCCCTGGAAGCGTTGGGCCCTTCTCCCACCTGAGGCGAATGTTTCAGGGCGTTGTTGAGCATTCGGCTCCCGGCCTGTGCCCTGAAATATCCCTTGATGGCAGGTGCCCTTTTTGCCTCAAGTTTTCGCTGTGCCCGCGGCCCAAGGTCTCTCGGCCTCTCCTTATTCTGTCAACTTTCTCCTTCTTCTGATTCTGAGCGTTCCTAGCTCTAAAAGCGCATTCCGACGTGTTCATTTGAGGCTCCTCCGCCATGCGAATGTGCATCCGAAAGAGAATCCGCATGGATCGTGGTGTACAGCTCCCTCTACACGAGCACTGTTGAAAAGGAAAAGACCTGCACCGTTGGCAGCTGTGCTTAGCTTTGCAATTGGGAGCTGAATGCATGAACAAGAATAATGTAGCAGAACGTTAGGACAGCGAAGCCGAAACAAACAAGTATTGAGTTTAAAGCTCCTAGACACGAAAGGTGCTCATGCCAAGCATGACAACATAAACCCAACTCAACAACTCAAGATAATCGATAACAAAATGACGATGAAACCAACGCTCAACAAGAACACACAGCAAAACACTCCAAATCCACCCCCCCCCCCTTTCCCCAACCTAGCATCTGGCACATTTGTGCAAACTGGGCGGCGTAACAACATGAACTGAAGACGACACGCCAAAACAGACAACACAAATATTGACATTGACTTCAACAACGCAACATAAGTCCAGCGAAGATTTGCGAGCGGAACAGGAAATCATGGCTTCGCTTTCGCATGAGGCTTGTTGCATTGGCCTTTGAATGTTGTTTTCAACTTTCGCTTTGCTGTCTCGGAACCTTATCAAAGAGGAACTGACATCGAGAACCATTTCCACTGAACCCTAGGCCCTAAAACTCTCTGCATATCCCTGAAGCATGTAATGCACTGGATCCACAACTAGATCAGCTAGCACATTGCCGGCAAGCTGCCATTTCTCCCGGACGGTTTTGGCCTGCCGCCGCTTCAGCTCACCTGGGCTGGCTCGGCTTTTCTTGAGCCATCTGAGGGTCAATTGAGTCAATTGGGGTTCAGATCGATAAACCACAATCCGTTGAAGCGCGTGAGGCGTGAGGCACTTGGGTGCTTCTGCAGCGCCTTTCGCTTGCCAGCAATGAGCGGCTTCCGTGCACGTCCCACTGCTTCGTCCTACCCCATCTGTGCCTGCACAATCCCGTACATGTACGGTCTTCAGATCGGACACGACGCTACTACTACATCCCATTTGTTACTTAAGCTTCATCCATCTTCAGTGCGGCGAGGGTGTCTGACATAGCATTGCTCCAGAAGGCTGTCCACTTCTGTCCAAGCGCAGACATGTCTTGAACATGATCGTCGAGGCCTTCCTGCACGGAACTTCGAGATTTCTGGGGGGCCAGCCACTCAGGGAGGAGGTTCGCTGGATTGTAATCACAAAGAAGGCCCAGATGCCGCTTTCCATCATCCAGGGGCAGTGACGCAAGCACCAAAGGGATGCCGTCCGGTGAGAACCTTGATGCTTCGTGTGCCAGCCACAGACTGAGCATGACTTCATCTGGCGTTCCGACACACTCGAAGGGCTTCACGGCTCTCTTTCGGGATATGCCCAGGAGGCTGTGGAAGTTGTGGAGAAGCTTTGGGCTTTCAAAAAGGTTCTTGCCAAAATACGTGGCAACATCACCTGGCGACACCCAGGCTGCAAGCAACGCGAAAACGAAGCAGCATTTCTCACAGTCACAGCACCACTCATTCAGACCGTTGCTTTCATTGCAGCTGATGAACGCATCCAGAAAAGTGCCTGAGCGCCGGCAGAACAGCCAAGCAATCTGCACTTCCCAAAGGTGCTTCAAGGCTGAGAAGTAGTAGACTCCGGGCGCTAGGCGTCGGCGGATGTACATGTGCATGCGGGACTCAAAGTCAAAGCTCTTATCAAATTGGTGGTTCACCTCCAGAGATCCCACGTGAAGATCATTGCCGTAGTTGGCTGAACGCTCGTTCCCGACGGCGATGTAATCAAAGCCGTGCAAAATGGCCACCAGCACGGCGTCAAAGCCGACGAGAGCGGCCCACGGGTGACCGCAGGGCCGCAACTTCTTTGACTTGCGAAGCTTCAGCAAAGCCTCGTTCTGGAAATCATGTGACATTACCAATGCGGATGAGCCAGACCGTTGCACTACAGCCTGCAATCGCCAGCTCTCTTGGAACTCTTGCTGCCCGTCGCCCACATAGAGCCAAGTTGGCATCACACCAGCATCCTGCAGCATCTGGTGCACCACAAGGCTGTCTTTCCCCCCACCCAACAAACACAGCACTCGTGCAGCGCCGGGTGCGCATGGCACACGCGCTGGGGCTGCATCCATCACATGCACAGATCTTCTCGGTGGCGAATCGACTTCAACCGACACTCGGATTTGCTCTTCAGTGAAGTTGTTGACAACCGCAAACTCAGCAAAGCAATGTGCATAGAACCACTCCCACCAAGCCACCTGCTCGGGATCGAGGTATCCAGCGCTGACCACCACGCGCTTGTGGCCGCAGGCCATCCAGTACCAAGCCAGCACAACCAGCCCTACATGCAACACTGCAATGTCCAGTCGCTGCTGCTTCTCCGCCTCCCGAGGAGGTCCTTGACAGGCAATCTCATCAGGCAAGAAGCACTCGCTGTGAATTTCCTCCGCATCACAAACGGTGTAGGTAAAGCGTATGCGTGGCCAGCGAACTTGAGCAGACTTGAAGCGGAGGAATGGCTGCTGTGCAGGCTGCGCTGGTTCTATAACGTCCTCCACATTCTGCAGCTCCACCTCTCCTTCATCGCTTGACGATGGGGGCAGGTCAATTCCGTCCAGGTATGCCATCTACTTGCACCTGCACAAGTGCGTCAACGAGCCACCGCTGACAACATGATGGCATCACTATGCAGCCTTCCACGCTCACAAGGTGCGCTGTCGCCTGATTAGGGGGTTATTTCTGGCAATTTTAAGGTGTTTGTTTGCTTCTACATCCAAACCGTCACGCATCTGACTGCTTGGCCTAGCCAAGATACGATCAATTTCAGTCTTGATATGTGCTGACTGTCGAGACTTCGTAAGGTACTAGGGCAGTCGATGACATGCACGAAAGCGGCACAGCACAGAAACCGCACAAACACCGAACATCCGCAAAGCCTGAATCTCCGCCGTAATACCGAATTCACAGGAAGATGGACAGATGCTAGAATCGCCAGCCGAGAAGCCAAACAACCCCAAAGGTTGCCGCAAGCATCCCAGACCCTCAAACCCAAACCGATGCCCAAGAAGCTTCATCCGAAGATTGGGGCCTACCTGAAGCCCGAGAATCGTAAAGTCGGCCAACGTGATAACACAGCAAGCAACATGTAAGCTTTGTGGGGCTTCCGGACCAAAATCCAGCCAAAGGGGCTGAGAGTCGGCATGGCCAGATGCGACGCGGCTGTGGACTTCACAGCCACCAGCTGTGCAAAGACTCAGAGGCTTTCAGGTATAAGCTGGGTATAAGTATGTAAGTATTGGTCAAGTTTGGGGGGCAACAGTCTTGGGGTTTCGTGCACTTGCTTTTGGTGCCACCTTTTGAACGGGATGCGATTGATGTAATCCCCCTTTTGTCCTGCAGCTTGGACTGACACGTGCTTTTAGACTGACAGTGGAACAAGGGCCTCCTACACAACCCAACAAGAATCTGGGCATCTAGGCACAGTGCTCTGACGTTGCACTCCATGCGGCCTTTATGGGTTGAAATTCTGAGCAGATAGTGTTCCAGTCTAGCCGAGCATCCGACCCATCTAGCCGCCAAAAACATGCTGGTGCTACTCTACTGTGCAACGTCAATTTATGAACACCAAGTTAATGCCAATTCTAGGTAGGCACTGAAGCAGGCCCTGAAGCCTGGGAAAAAACCTGAGAACCCTTTTTCGAATGACATAAGGGAAAGGCTGTTGGCGACGTATGCGCATCATTTGCTGGCATCATCTGCTGCGATGCTCCCCATGGTTGGGGCTCCTTGTGGTGGACTCCGCTAATTTCACAAGCGCCGTATGCTCTGATGCCGAAAGGCTGATGCCTGAACCTAATCACTACATCATGCACGCGCGGAGGCAACCCTTGCGCCAGCGGTATCTCCAAATTGTCCACCCCTTTGACTAAACAATGCTCTTGCTTCGTCACTCAAGGGCACACTTTTCCTTGTTAAAAGGTCTGCTTGGTGTTGGTGCACGCTGCTTTCTCTCTCGCACCCAAATCAGGTTGCACAACTTGGGGTACCTTAACCTCCCAATCTTAGTCCGGCATGACTTCTATCCTGCAGGCAAGCAATGTGGCGCAAGGTCTGCCGGCTCAGGCACTTTGGCCCTGAGCGCGATTTCGCAGCACAAGGCTCCCTGCAAGAAGCCTCAAGGCTCCACTTTCTGAGAATTAATTACCTTGACGGTTTTCTCTTCAGTGCAGAGGCATTGCTTTGTGAAGGGGCTGCTCCCTAGTTCCACCTTTCCTCTTTCTTCCATCAACAAGATGCAAAACCCCCAAATTCCAGATCCAAGATTCAAAAGCAAATTTACCCAAAAAAATCAAATATGTTCGGACAAAAGCCCGGGGGAGGTTTGGATCTTTGGGTGCTTTTTGGGGGGATGCGTCTCTCTCTCTCTCTCTCTCGCTCCTCCTCCTCTTCTTCTTCTTCTGCTTCTGCTTCTGCTGCGCACTTGAGGGCCCCCCCCCCCCCAGAGGAGGGACCCGGACGCGACGGCCAAGTGGGTCCTTGTCCGTTAGATCCCGGTTTTCGGGTTCTATGTGTGATCATTTGGGCCCACCATCTGCTGGAATCTCGTAGTCGGTCTGCTCCGTCTCTCTCTTTCTCTCTGTCTCTGTCTGTGTCTGTGTCTCTGTCTTGCCCCTCATTTTGTGGGCAGAGGGTGAGGCGGGGTGTGTGCAGGGCGAAGGTCGTATTGCACAAACAATAAGGTAACTCTAGCTTTCAGGGATTCTGCATTCCCGAGAAAGGCACAATCCTAGAATGTCGCAAGTCTGTTAAGCGAAGGCAATACTGCTAAGGAAATCCAAGAATCTCCCCAATTGCAAAAACATCCAAACCACCCCGGAGACTCTCCTGACAACTTTGGGTTTTTATGTCTTTTTGGACTTTCTGAGCCTTTTGATTTCGAGGTTGGTCCAGAGAGGTGGGGCAAGCCTCTCAAGCTCATGTATGCGCATATATATATATATATGCAAGTTCAAGCAGCTGTAAATTCACAAAATTACAGTAGCCTTCGTCGGATCGTTTTCACCTGTCCTCAGCGAAACCATCCATTTATAAACGATTGAAATTGCAGTGCTTGTCCACGAACATCATCAAACTGTTCCTCCACCCCTCCATGGGACTTTCGTAAGTTCTGGCCTCAGCAGCCAAGATGTCAGATCGTGGAAAATTAAGCACGTCAGGTCTAACTGCGAATATGCCTGCCATTGCCTGCCTGCGTGCCATTTGAGTCAGCTGTTGCAGCTCTTCCTTATGTGCGAACAACTTTGAACCAAATAAATGCTGCTCCACAACCGGTGTGCTCAGAAACGTTTCTCTTGTGGGGTTTGGCACCATGGTTTGGGCGCGTGCAGCATGTCTACATGGCCATGAGTTGGAGCTTCAGCTCCGGGAGGGGCCTCCGGCTTCTTATTCGGAACCTTGCTGCTATTGACACAAACGGAAGAGCCGATGAAGGGAGGTTATGCTGCGTCATGGGTAACCGCCAAAAGCAGGGTAATTATGTGCTCGCACATCCACAGAACTGCAAAGTTACCTGGAACTTTGAGGAAGATCCCTTGCGGAAAAAGACTGGGACCCCATAACCGTAGCAGCAAAGCATGCTTAACGCAGCTGCCCTTGCTACATCCCCCGAAAGTTGCAAAAAAACCTGAAAGACAAAGAGTAAAATGTATTCAGCTCAGCAAGTAAGCCCTCAATTAGCCCTGCGTTTGCAGCTCTGCCAGCCCTAATTCGGCCACACTGCACCTGAGCGGGGTGATGCTGTGTTGAAGTTAGGATGCCTGCAAGATTTCACGCAGTGCATGTCAGGAACTGTGCAACGTTTTGGGCGGAAGGTCTGGGGCCAAACGAAAGACGAAACCAGGGCCTCCCTCTGCACAGAATTCACACAGTATTATGGTTCGGCACCCAAACGCACACTTTGCCAGAGGACCTTGTGAACTCCCATAATCATTCTTTCGAGTTTACTTCTTCTTGCACGCTTGTGCAAAGTCTTGTTTCAGCCTCTCCGCTCAGCTTCAGGTGGCCTCCGTTCGGGTCCTCAAAGTGGACCCTCTCCATGTATCGTAATTTCCATACACCCTCACTTCTACAAATCAGCCGAGTGGTTGCCATCTAAGGCTAAACAGCGCCAGGGCTGTCAGCAGGCTTTAGGATTCGGAGATGAGAGCATCTGTTGGCTTTTTCAAACAAGAGCATGATACGACATGCTAGGGTCCCGAGTGATTCAGGGGGCTTTCGGGGGGCTTCTGTGCTGTCAACGCAGTCGATACAAGAAGAGTTATCCTGTGCGCTTGAGGTCTTCGAAGCCTATTCAGGCTTCGCAAACGTCACAAGGCGATGGTCTTCTTGGTACTCAGCTTGCCAAGCCTTGGAGGGAGGAGCAAGATTTATAAATTAAGGTGCTTGGGTTGGCTTGCGCTGGTATCCATGGACTTTTGTTGCTGGTCTCTTCGAAAGCTTCGCAGCACATGCTCAGTTCCGTCAATGGAATTAGTCACGTGGATGTGCAGTGCTTGGGCGTTCCGTGTTGCATCTTCTACATGTGTAGACTGACTAAGTGGGTGCTTGGGTACAGCATGGTATTGGATGTCGTTCTGATGAATGGCATGTCACATGCAGCAAGCCATCTTCTCCTATTGGTGTGTACAGCTATGTGGCACAAAAATTCGCTGTGTCCTGGATGTTGCTGTTAGATGCTTTTGAGTTCTTGGTTGCTCCTGCTTTTGGGAATGCTCGGTGCTCCAAGGGTCCTGGCTTGAAGTCATACCTTCAAAGAGCGACGCCTTCATGATTACATGAGAGTGCGGAGGCAGCTTCTCAAGCGTCTTTCACAGGCCAGAAACCACATCACCTTATGTCAGCCAAATTGCCGGTGTGAACCCCTGCATTCTCACACCGCTAGCGATCCCACCTCTCCAACCCAAGTTGCAAAAACCGAAATACTCTGATAGGCCACGCTTCGCTCTCTCAGAAGCATTGAAGGGGGAAGGGTAGGGAGCACAAGCCTTAACATGCCAGCCGAACAGCCGAACATGCATGAACATCCCGACAAGTTGGGGTCCGAGCTTGTGCTGAAGCTTTACGCAGACGGACGTCAAATTGTCGTCTGCCTCCTGGCCACAACGGCACGATGTTGTTGTTGCTGCTGAAAGTCTCACAAACTAAACCAAAGAACTAGCACCCTGAACAAAACACAGCTCCCCAAAACAACTATCACACGATGCTGCAGTGAAGACTCGCTGGTAGCTGCAGGTAGCCGCCGGCTGTTGCTGTCTTGGACCCGGGCTTGTTTAAGGTTGAACATTGCCACCTTAAGGCAGGTGCGTCTGCTCTTGTGAGATTGCTATCGTACAAATAACCCAAGGTTGGGTTACGTGTGTTTGGTCCGGCTGATGTCTTGGTTTTGGGCGGGCTTCGAGTAGGTTAGGAGATGCTAAGAGCAGATGCTCTTCGGTCTCCCACAAACGGGTTTCGATGCTCTTTGCGGTTTGCCTCTGAGAAGCCATTGTCATGGGCATCAGCAATTAGTCAGAGGGTGGCATGGTCTCTTTGTCGCCTTCGTGTCTGCATTTGCAACTTCTCGTGGTTTGAACAGGCTGCCCCCTGAATGCTTCAGAGAAACATTTGTTTATCTATGTATATGCATTGACCTGTGCTTGTTTACTCATTCTTCAGATCCCTCTCTCTTTAAATGCTCCGTAGAGCGCAAGAGGTACCTGGCGGACCGACCCTCAGTGCTAGGCCCCTCGACCTTTCGAGGTTGCACTTGGAACTCCTTACGACCTTTGGTCTTATGCCATTTTTATGCCGCGAGTCCTGACAGTTACCCTCCTACACTGTTCGGCTTTCCCTACTGAACGGTATCCCAAACATCAGCTGAAGTCAACTCCGCAGCCCTCTAGCCTTCAGCACTGTAAACCCAGACTCCAGCAGCTCACATTGACAGGTTCCCTTTTAGTCCGCTCCTTGGAAGCAGTCCTGCTATGCTAAAGCCTTTCCCAGGCATGGCTTTGGGCTTCATATGAGTAGTGAACCTGTAGGGTGATTCCGCGCTCTCGGTTTTTACGGAGCCCGCCTGGTTGTGGTGCGAATTTGGCGGGCCGATGGCCTGGTGCATTATGTGTTTTTAGGAAGGTTTTGAGGGATCTTGGAGCTTGTTGATGCTGGACCCTTGGGAGCGCTTACAGGGTTGAAAAGGTTGAAGCTCCAGTGCGGGTAAGGCTGGCTGGGTTTGTCGGCCACTGGCCACATACAGCCCGCATGCAGCAAAGTACATCGCACGTCAGTTGAACGTCTAAGGCTTCCAAAGAAAAGGGTGACGCTAGAAAACACTGCCTGCTTTTTCTCCGTGGCAGCACGCACGTGTGGGTGTGGCGGGGGTGGTGCCGGAACAGCAAGGATGGCAGCTGAAGAACAGACCAGGATAGAGCTAGGCAAATAGACCAAAGCGGGTATCATGGGTATCATGGACCTCCATGTCAAAGCTTGTTCTGCACCGTCCCTGAGACAAGCTGTACAATTCCAAACATTAACCAATCGATGGGCCACTTGTCGGCCACAAGTACCGAGCCCGTTAACCAGGCAGGGCATCTCCAACGTGTGCGACGTAACCTTCACAAAGCCACGAGCCGCATGGCCCCCATGAACCGCCCCATTATTCATCCGCTGAGCCAACCGCTGTTCCGTACACCCGGAAGCCATCGGAAGCCCGACGAAACCCCTGAGAATTTTAGGGTAGGCTAAGTTCATAGCTTCCATATGGACGGAATGTCAAGGGATGGGTTCGCCGATCTCGCCAGCACCCTTCCAGCTCGAATCCACGTGCTTGGAGGAGAAGATGGGCAAGCGGTTTCCTGTGCTGCACACTTTTGCATCATGCATCATGATTCGCATCGGCCTTGCTGCTCCATATCTTGTGCTAGTTTCCGTACAAAGACGAGCAGTACCATTCATGCTAGTCCAGCGATCTCTGCCTAGAGGGCACCGAACGTCAGGAAACTTCCTCTCCGAGGTGCGCATGTGAACTCGGTCGATTTCCCAAAGGAGGTCCTACGAGCTCTTTGGAGAAATTGCCGTCTTTCCTCTAAGGCGAGGTTTTCGGGTTTTTCCGGGCACGGTGAAAGACAACACACTCAACACTGCTCTTTTTCATCTTTGGGATATGCAGCGCTTGGCTTGGCTTCGGGATCTTCGGGTGCAGGGTCGAGACGTTCAGGATTCAGGGCTTCTTCGGACTTCTGCGGAAGTAAGCATTGACATGTCCAGGCAACTTTGACGCGGGAGCTGTATGGAGCTGGAGGCCACGAACATGGTTCTGCCAGGTGCGACAGTAAGCGCCATCGACGTCCGCGAGCCGGAACACAAAAACCATCAAAGAACCCTTTGGACCTTTAGACCCTCAGCCGGTCCCTTGGGAGGGGCTCTTCCTTCTGAAAGTAGCCTCAGCACGGAGGTTGCTTACGTCCGAGCACGGCAGTCGAGGCATCGGAATTGGCTTGAAAGTTGTTTTTTCCACTACGCGCCTGGCAATCGCACGGCGAAACCCAAGTTGTGGAAAAGCTAAGGTGAAACCCAGCATCACTTGGAAGAGAAACCTCAACGTTGAATCCCCCGTAAAAGCCTGGGACAGGGTCATGCCAGGCAGCGCAGGTCTTCCTCCAGCTGGGTCATGCTGCTGGTTCCCAGCAGCACCTCGCTGTGTACCCATGCCCGAGCCGCAAAGAAACCGCTCGCAACCAAACCTTAAGACGACCTCTCAGTAGCGGGGTATGTACGTGGGTAGGCGAAGCTCTTCAAGGCGCTGTGGTGCAGCCGCGGCGAGAGCGGCACCAGCGCAGACTAAGCTCCTCACAGGGAGATGAAGATGGCTCAGATAGAGGTGAGTGGGGGGCCTTCAGACGGCAAGTGCTAGTTCGGCTCTGTGGATGGCTTCGGTGGACAGTGCAGGGATTGATGGTTTCATTTTTTCATTCGTCTTAGACTGGTTTTCCAATGAGAATACATGAACTTTGGATGAGCGGGGTCATGTACAGGGCATGCTTTGCACACCTTGTGCAATGAGACGGCAGAATTAGGACCAACGTCCCTTTGTATATCCTTTGCCTGGGAGACAGGTTCCTGTCTTTGTGTGGGTGATGTCGCAGTCTACGAAGCGAGAAGACAGCATGACCAAACGGTCTCATCTTCACATTCTTCCAGATTCTTCCAACCCCCTCCGCCCAACTTTCGAAGGTACAACCGGTACGGGATTTCATTCCGCGCTGTAATTCATAGCCTCATGATCAACTTCCGTCGGGGCTCCTAGGATGCGTCGTCAAGACTTGTAGCATGCCTTGTGCAAATCTCACCGATGAAGCCATTAATTACTAATTGGAGTGCCTTGCAATTGTGTGCCAGGGAACCTAATACTGTGAGAATCCTTTCCGACTTTGAGTCCACGGTTCCTTCCGTTTTTTCATGCGGAGCAGCCATGCACCCTTGCGTTCCCCTTGCCTCAGCTGGTTGAGCTCTCCGAACCCTCGATAAAACAGCTTCACGTTCAGCAGTCCAAGGAAATAAGGAAATGCTTTGGGCATCGTGGCTTCGCGAGGCCGCCTTTTTGGCATAAGGATGGCTTCCGATGAACGGAAACGGCTATCGCCATCCTCTGACCAGAACATCAAGGAACAGATGTATAGAGGTGTTACAGGATCTCTCCCCCATCTTGGTTTCCAGCAACACACCCAACCCCTTGTAGCACTTCCTTTGAACCCCACTCCGACAATGAGAGGCCGGCCCTCTTCGCGAGAGCGGAGTAGGCGGCAATGGCCTCTGAAGAATTCAAGAGCGGTTCAGGCTGGGCATTTTCTGGACAAGCCGTTCGAATACAATCAAACAGGTTCCGAAGAAAGCAGCGGCAGCAAGCAGCAGCGGCAAGCAGCGGCAGCGGCAGCGGCAGCAGCCGCAGCAGCAGCAGCGGCGGGGGCAGAATCAGCAGCAGCATCAACATCAGCAAGTGTGTGTGTGTGTGTGTGTTGTGGGTGCGTGCGCGGGTGAGGGTGCGGGCGCGGGTGTGGGTGTGGGGGTGTGCCTGTGTCTCTGTCTCAACGTGTCTCTCTGCGTCTCTCTGTGTCTCTGTGTGTGTGTGTGTGTGTGTGTCTCTGTGTCTCTCTGCGTCTTTTCGTTTTTCTTTCTTTCGGAGGGCATGGGGGACGGACCCCACGAGCGCCTATCCACCGGTGGTGGGACTGGAGGTGGAAGATGGCCTGGTAAGTAAGGTCATCCTCACCTCGCCGGAACACGTGCCCTGCCCATTGCCAGACCATGCGGACATGTAACTCATCCCACAAGACCGAAAGAAGCTCGGATCCACAGTTTGACTGGAGTGCGCCATGCCCTCTGGCGAGGGGTTACTTGCATGCACCGCCGCCCACAATGTCCACGACATCAACGTCACATGCAATACACGGAGCCGGCGGGCAGTATCATGGAAGGCGGCAGCACGCAGAGCACCCAACGAATAGCTGCAGACCACCAGCTGGGGCAGCTAGCCCGGGCGGGCAAGTCTTTTGCACATTCAGCTCCAATCCAGAAGAACGCAAAGAAGCGACCAACTCCGGCATCAATCGGCCATATTGAGCAACATCTCGGAAGAATGACGTGTTGTCATCAACAAACCACAGCCCCCATAGCATGAATGTGGACCAGCAAGAAACGCGGCACGCTCGCCCCGCTCCTCTCACGCAGTCGTCATGCCCTGGTACTTGTCCCCACAAGATAACGGGCAGGCGATTGAGTTGCGCCCTGCTGAGTACCAGTCGTCTGCAACCGTATCCATTCTTGCTGCAATATGTGGAAGAGCCGTGTGCTGTGAGTTCACACGAAAACCTGGAGCTTGGCTGATTTGCCCGTGTGGGGCACCCAACGCTGCGTCAACCAATCTGCGACTGCCTCGACTTGCAAGCTGTCATATGCACCAGACATCTCGAGCTTGACCGGGACAACAGGTGCACCGTGCACCAACTGACAAGGTACCCGCATCAGCGACACCCTTTGAGTGAACACTTCCCAGGCAGCAGGTGGGAGCATGCCAATAACGCAACAATCTGGCCACGCACAACTTAGTCAAAAGCTTGACCACCACCTCAATAAGGACAATGGGATGCAACATGTCCGCGCTGCTGATCTGTGGCTTCTTGGGCAGGAGAATGCCCCACGCAACCAAAAGATCACACTGCACAAGCAGCTCCGGCCAACTCAACATACATATCATTCAGCATCCCCTGCGCGCAAGCAGTCCCAACGTCATGCGCCGTCAACGCCCTCAACAACTCCACACTGACCTTGGACAAGCCCGTGTGTCTCTCTGTCTGTGTGTGTGCGCGGGTGCGTGTGCGCGGGTGCGTGTGTTCGTGCTTGTGTGCGTCTGTGCATGTGTATGCGGCCTTCAACTCGTCTTTGGCTCGAGGCGCAGCCTTTTCTTGTAAACATAGTCCTGTCCTCCCCCGTGCACAAACACCCAGTCGCCGACACAGTGGCATCTGACCGGTTCTGGGGCGTAACCACATCGGCTGAACAGATCTTGCGCACCCTGGATCATGCACAAGGGGCCCGCGTTCGGCAACTGGACTTGTGCATGAGATTGAGCCCCCCGGTGCCTCCACAGCAGCCTCGGATCGATAGCCTTCGTCACCGGGGTTGCTTGGACAAAGCTGGATACCCTTGATGCCCAGGATGTTTGGGTTTTTGGAGTTGGTTCGGCATTGGCTGCATGCTGGGCACATCTAGAACGTGACTCCAAACTCCAAACCCCAAGGACTACAGGCGGCGAAGGCAGCAACATGCTGCCGTCAAAGAGGACTCTGCCTGCGACCCTCAAGGTGGCTCGCGTGCTGCTACTAAAAAATGACGAGTCTTCCCGGGTGACTGAAAGACTAAATACGGGGGCCAATGGCTTCTGTACTTCGCGCCCAGGGTGCATTTGGGAGTACTTCATTACCTATGCCCCTTGGAAACCCCTAAGTGCGAGCATGTGCATGTATGTGGGCTCGGGCGGGGGTAAATTTTAACGAAGTCTTCTCGAGACTCAAGATAAACAATCTCACCCCCCCACTCCGGAACCCAACAATATGGGTCTTCATTTTGGTCGGGTGGTAGGGTGCCAAAGCCAAATCGTACAGCTAAACATCCTCACTGCATACGGGTCGGTCATCTAGAAGGGTTGATTGATTCCCTTTTGATCTCCAACTACCCACACAATCTCTGAACCAAATGCGAGAACTCATTGCCCCGATCACCGCATCTGAAGGACGGTAGAGGGTGCCGCCCCAGCCGTAGGTATCCATGCGGCCCCGTGGCTTCTGGGAACAGGCAGGGAGGATTCATCCCCTTAGGCCGTTTGGGGTCTTTAGAGGTTTGGAGGAGGCCACGTACACCTGATATGTTGTGGTATGTGCTTATCTAGTCGGAATTGTGTGTGGAGGTGAGAGGCCAAGCTGCAATCGTTTACCAATCAGACCCTCAATCTTGGACTCAGCCTAATCCTAAGTCAGCACCTTCCAGAGATTCCAGAAACAGATGTACGTCAGACGGAGCGGAAATCATGTGAACATTGTCCACTGCAAAAACTTTAAGCAACGCAGACCAGCTGAAACGTCAAGAGCGAACAGATCTTAGTTTCGTACCGCGAAGTACATGAGGGATTTGGCCGTGTTGACTAGGAAGGAGTCCTTCCAAGGACCATGGAAGGACATCATACAACGAGTAAAACAAGTCGCCACACAGTTCTGGGGTGCTCCGTATTGCTCTGGCAGTCAGCAACCACCCAGTATCCCAGAAGAGGAAAGGTGTACGATCAATGTGGCACGTTCGTGCCACGAACAAGGCAGCCCTCTTACCTAGGTTGAAGGTCTCTCCATCAACTTCGTCCGCTAGAGGTCAGGACTGTAGCATCCAAATGGAAGGTGAAGTACGTACAGAATACACGGACTGCAGGGAATGTTAAAGCCGGGCCGGATACCAGATCTGTTTCGTGCCGCCCGAGGATGAACTAGAGGCACAAGTACCTACTAAGCGTATCCTTGCAACGCAGAGCGTGTTCAGATATTCATATGCGCTCGTCGAAGCGGGCCGTAGCAGATGCTTTGACATCAACTATCCCCACCTGAAAACCTGACATTTTGCTACCAACTGCAAGCAGCCTCAGAAACAAGGCGGCGAGAATAGCGCGTGGTTTAGGTCTAACAGTGGAGGGTTAAACGCCTCGGCTTGTCATACGGGGCTGGGGACGCAGCATGAGGCGCTTCGCAGCACTATGCGGTGCTTCACCCGAAGCCCGATCCTTCATCAACTTCTCGGCCGTGTCATCTGAGGGGCTGTCCAAGGCGGCCGGCTGGTCCAGGTATTTGCCTTTAACACAGCGGCATGAAACGGATTTGTCCCATCCTCAACGCCCTCCACACTCTCTGCAGCCCATCACGTCATGAGGTTTACGCAATCTACTTTGGTGCCGGTCAACGGACTCTTTAGTGTCCCCATAGCCAGAGCCTCCTAAACCGCGTGAAGTCAAAGCACCTGTTAGCATTCCTCCAGCCAGAGCATTGTAGGCCATGAAGCCAACCTCGTCCGGAGGAGTCTGGGATGCTGGTGTTGGCATTGGGATTTCAAGGGGGTGTGTCTACTTTGGGCATGTGCAGTTCCGGGATGTTCCGGGTCGTGGTGGTCAAATTCTCGTTGGCAAGTTTCGTGGACCGAGGCTGGCACAGGACAGTTGCACTGCCCGCCCTCACCTTGAAACCTGGAAAATCACTTCTTCCCCAAACTGAAAGATCCAGCTCGGCACAATCCAAAGTCGGAACCGGCATGCCCAACACATTCGCAGATCAAGATGCGTTCTCATGGATTGGAGACGAGGCCTCGAAGACCTTGGCTGAGGGCGATGCCAGGCAAAGCCTACGACCTGCTAGAGCGCTGAGCTGCAAGGGCCCGGAATCCATAAGCATGCTAAGCAAGGAAGGTCCAGCAATGAAGGAGCACAAGGTCGGCAAGTAAATGGTAAGGTGATATGAGGTGCAAGGCACCAGAGGCCAGGGCTAAGCCAGGAACTTTTTGTTTATTTTACTCATTGCAGCTTCCCAGTTCCGCTCATTTTCCGCTCGGAACAAGTAGGATGCAACGACCAGAGTCACTGAGGCCTGTAAGGGGAGGGGGTGCTACAAGCAGGGACACAAAGTCACTTGTGACTTCGTTTTGCGGTGTCATCGTGGAGTTGCCTCTTCTGTGGCAGCCCAGCAAGTTTCTCAAGATTGTGCATGCCTGCAACTACAGTAGTGCGCGTAGTTGTCTTTGCTTACTGATGCTTTGCCCCAAGCTGTGCTTGCACATTGGGGTTCTTGTGTTGAACTAGATAGGTTTGACCGGACCGGGCACCCGCACGCAAACAGTGTCTCGAAATCGTTTCCTGTGGGCCCGTCATGCTCTCGCCTACACGCCGTGCGCATTTCAGGGCCCGGATACGTGAAGAGCTGTCTGAAACATCGACGAGTAGCGCGCCGGTTCCTGGCCTCTCGGTGACGCCGAATCGTGCTGTCGCCCGGGTCCGCATTCCATCCTCGAAATCGTGCTCGGCCAAAATCCCGTGCATTTTTTGAGGCTTGCACCCTTCCGTGTCACGGAGATGTGGTAGGGGCGCACTTTCCTATTTTGGATTTTTTTGACGGATTGGCTTCGTGACTCTGTTTAAATCGGGTTTGCGTTCCGTGGTGTTCCACAGCTCGCTCTCGCCTCGGTCCCATTCTTCATAAAGATTCACAAAGTGCAAAGTGCGGAATGGCCTTTTTTGGTCCCTGGAGCTCTTCAATTGCCTTGGAGTCTTTAGACTGCTCTTGCAGTGGTCTTGGCATTCTTGGGCTCTACGCCGGCATACTGTGTGCTTGGCTGAAGAATGCAGCATGTTTTTGGCACAAGGTTCGGGATAGAGCGGCACGGACTGCATGGACTTCTGCCCGCATGTGTCAGACACCTGCTGTCTGTGTGCTGGACGGCTGCGAGGCAGGCGGTGCCCAAGTTCTCATATGGGTGGTTGTCAAAATTATGGTCCCTGTTTGGGTACCCTAATTACTAGGTGCCGTATTATAATGGGGACCCAAAAAGGGACCATCAATTTGACAAGTGCGGGGCAGCATTTGGCCCAACAAGCCGAGATGCGCCGTTCTCTTCGGACTTCCGGTCGATGATGCTGTAGTCCCCTGTTGGGTTGAGACTTTTTCGGTGGGTTCCGCTGGCTTTCCTGGAATTTAGAAATATTTGGGAATTGGATGCTTAAGACACCTTAAGAAGGACTAAGTCGATTCCCATTGATAACAGAGCGATGCGATTCCTCGCAAGTTTTTCCTGCCACCACTTGCTCCACCAAGGAACCTTCCAGATCATTAGCAGCCTCAGGACCTAGAAACTGAACCCTGACCCTGAGTGAGGCCCTGCAGCCAACACCTGAAAAAGAACATCTGAGCTGCGGCCTTGAAATGAGATTGGCGGCGGAACATTGAGTCTCTTCGCGGTCTCGCAGCACGCCGTGAGGCCGAAAGCATTGTCATTGCCTCAGCGGCCGGAGCAACGGATGGACTGCAAAAGGGACTTGGGCCGAGTTTGCAATACGCAGATATGCACATGTGGGCTTTCCTGCCTAAAGGAACTCTTCAACCTAACATGAGAAATGCAGCTACATGTGTCACAGTATGGGCAAAGGAACATGAAAAGCGCAGCAATAAAACCCCTGTGGCTAGGTCTTGCAGGGGTTGTACGGTCCTGGCTATTGACATCTTTTCGCTCCGTAGGGGAATGCCGACGCAATGGTGAACCCTAGAGAGATGAAGGGTGGAGGTAGCAGACAGATGTAGCATTTCTGTCCGGCGATTCGGGGCCGCCTGGCTCGCACGTGGTCTGAACAATGATTCGGCATTCGCCTGGCTTCCATGCCGTCCAGAATCACAAGGTGGGCCAATTTCCGGTGCCACCAATGTATAGCTGCAGTATAGCTGCATAGCATTGCATAGCTGGATTGTTTGCAAGGTTTGGGGCTTCGACTCTCACAGCTCGAACAAGGTTTGTCCTTGGGGCTAACATTCGAAAATTCACGGTTCACCACACAAACTGAACCAGCGATCGGCATGTTGCAAAAACCCCAAGGCGTTCCTTCTGCACAGGCTGCCTGCCTGAACAAACCACACATAAGACCAAGAAAGCACAAGGGATGCAGTCCAAGGCACACAAACCCCATCCTCGGATTTTGCCTGAGCCACCAGTAAACTCAGTATTGTCAAACTCCGCAGCTAAATTGAACCTCTCGTCATGCAAACTACCGGAAACCCGCGGCCTCAAACGGGTCAAAAACCGAACCAGAGATAACAAAGCCAGACTTGCTATGTAGCGTTAGTCTTCTTCTTCTTCCCGTGAGTACGAGCCGTGGTCTTGCATGGTCGTGCAGTCGAGAGCGGGGTTGTTGTTCGGATGTTTAAGGGTACTAGGGCGGCTGTTCAACCCGTTCCCCGGCAGGACTTCCCCAGGCACTCAACAAAAGCAGGACACCAATAACAAGGATAGGGCATTTTGCATCGCGTTCCGGGTTGAGTTCGCAATTGTACTCTGCTGCTGTCACCTTGCAGCTTGTTGCCCAGTACACGTTCTCAGTGACTGGCCCGTTTTGTGACTTCCACTCGGAGGCTTTGAATGATACTTCTACTTCCGCCATCCGCCCGCTAGCCCCGCCGTTGGCCCGTTGAGCTCCCCCCCTTTCCCCCAATTCATGCGAACTCGCTTTCACTTTCATTCCGCTGCCAATGGAGGTCCGCGCATTCGTCGTCTCGTTACCTTTGTTCTTGACCCATCGTGCTGTCCACTTGCCTTTGCATTGACATTCTGACTGTCCGTGTCCTCTGCTGTGGGCGCTGGCCTGCGTTGGGTTCGCATCCGCTACTCCTCCTCCTCCTCCTCCTCCTCCTCCTCCGTGTTGCAGGCCGGCAACGCGACGTCCGCCCGGGCACCTGAACCAAACACTCTTCCGACCCACGGGCCGCCCCCTCCTTAGGCTGGCCTCGTCTGACTCTCTCTCTCTCTCTCTCTCACTGCTCGCTTCCTCGACAAACCCAAAAGGCCACGAGCCCTTGTAGATGTAGTCACACTGTCGGCAGGAATTTGTGCAACACCCCCTTTATAGGGATACTGTTTCGTGCTGCGGATGGCGGTGTATGCAGTGTCGGCGGCGCTTGAGGTTAAACTCTTGCCAGGCGGCCCTCTTTGATTAGGGACCCCATGGACGTGCAAAGCTCCTCGAAGGAGGCGCCCTCCATGCCCATTCCACCATACCTCCAGTGGAACGTGAGGTTTGGCGAAGTTTCTGGTGGCAGGCCTACAGGAAGGGTTCCTTGTTGGACCCGAGCCCGGTCCCTGCCACGTCCCTGCCACAACCTCCCCCTCATCTGCAAGCAAGCCACTCTTCCACGGAGTAGTTGTATGTGAGGCTCTGGCCCCAGTTGGCTTGCGGCGAATAACGCGAGGGCCAGTGAAGCTGGTAGACATCGATGTAGTCGGTGCCCAGGCGCTTCAGGCTCCCCTCGCAGTCGGACCCTGAGTGCTCACTGCAAGATGGGGGTCTAGCCTTCATGAGACCTGTCAAAGTTCTCCCAAATTCAGCCAAACTGCACAGGCAATTGGTCAGGGCATAACTAAGAGACCCAACGATCGAACCGGATGAAGACTGAGTTTGAGACGAGAAAGACTGTAAGCAGATTGCGTCACATCTTGCCGAGTTGCGAATGTTCTTTGGGGTGACATTGAAGCCTCCCGTGATCTTTGTGGCGATCACCTGGGCCGGGGCGGTCAAAGGGTCACCTAAACCGTCCCAGCCTTAGTCCCGAGGATGCTATGAAGACTGCTTTTTGCAAGGAATCGCTCAGATGGGATCCGTGAAAAAGATTAATGCCCCGAGCGCTGTGACATCATGTTACTTTTCAACCGCGACATGGCCCATGCAGTTTCCCGAAGCACGAACAAGAACAGCGATCAGAATCCCTTCGCAGCCCTTAAGTTGTCTACAGTACCTGCGCGAGGCACGGTTAACTTGCGCCGCCGCCTCATTTTTTTTGTGCCGACAGTTCGCGAGTTTGCGACGTCGTCCAGCCTCTTTTGCCATCCAACGGCCTCGGCAAGTTCGTTGGTGGAGCTAAGTGGTGCAAACGGAACTTGTCGCTCAAGCATGCTCAAGCAACTCTGAACTCCAAACGAAATCATACACTAAACCGGTCCCGACTAGGCATGAGCATGAGTTGGACCGCGCGGTCACCCTGCAAGATTATCAGAGGTACTTTAATTGACCCGGCAGCAGCGACGCAGAGCTGGGCAAGCTGAGGGACAAATTGGACAAAGTCTTGGCCAAACCCAAAGCCTACTCCGAGCGCTGCCAGCTTGCCTATCACCTCCTCGCAAAGCCCCTCGGGACGTGCGACATCTGACGGGATCGGATACCTGGCCAAAAAAGTCATTGAGTCTACGAGCCTTCAAGGCTCACAGTCGGGGCCGGGGCTTGGGTGAACTAAGATAAAGTACTGGCTGCACCACTTGGGCCTCAGACAAGAACTTGTTGGACCTTCAAATCCACCCTGAATATCCCCGAGCCCATCCGAACCCCAAGATGCTTGCAGTCTCAGGGACTGCTCCGCTGTGTCCACAAGGTTGACGCCCGACCCCAGCACGGCCCGGTCCAGGAAAGCTTGGCATTGGGATTCCTGGGCCACATATGGTTTGCTTCCTTCGCATCTCTGATCCGGATTGAGGAACTGCCTGCTACGCAGATCTGCGCAAGAACCAGGCCATGCAAAACATCGGCTACTGCCTGGTGTAAGTCTTATGGCACTGTAAAGGAAACCGCACAGAAGACTGGGAGCTGTGTGGGCTGCTGCAAAGCACTCTGGCAATCATGAGGGTTCATGTGCGACTGGCAAACACCAATTAAGACTTGTCCTATACGCAGATGCCAAGTTTCCTGTTGATGGTGAAGTCCCTCCCTCGCGCTGAAAGCCATTAACAACGTAAAATGGAACCACATTGCCACATCCCAGACACATCTGGAGCGTTGAAGTCCGCGGAGACCCATCGCTGCGTGCCCAGCGCCAACTGCGGGGTGAGTCGACTGCGAAGAGGATTCTCTAAGGGACTGCGCTCAACCCGCACTAAAACGCTCTCTACGCCACCAGGCTGCCCCGCGCTTAGGCTGCCTCGGAGACAACCACATCCGAGTTTCCCAGGCGCTTTTGCCGAATGCCATCCACTGTTTTGAGCACCTCACAAAGCAACGGAAAGAAACGCCAGGTTTCCTGATGACGAACCGGAGGCTAAAACACAAAAAACACAAAAACGACTTGCAAACCTTCGATTTAGCGCTAACAAAAGTTAAAGACTTACAACTCAAACAGCAGCCGCAAGTGGAGTCATCCTTGTGAGTCCTGACCAATTCTCTGCTTGAAAGCTTAATGCTCAGCACCCACAGTTCAAGGCGGGCAGCACCCAACTAGTCAAAAGGATTCCCTTGAGCCGACCACACAGCGGGTCAGCACGTCCAAAAGTCTTTGCAATTATGCTTTTTGGGAATGCCATACCCCGCGAAGTTTGAAGCTGCTCTGCACTGCAAATCGCGCCGGCGCCTCGTTGGTCGGCTTGATCGCTGTCTTTGCTAAGGCCTGCTGGGCCTGTCGAAGCTTGACCGTGCCTACTGTTGCATAGGGCGACACTGAAGTTATCAAGCATGTGTCACAAAGGATACCGAGACTTTCGGAAACTCATCAGGCCCTTCGCACTCTGGAATGTATTGTTCAAGCTTAGAGATGCATCTGCACTGACAGGAAAACAACTGACTTATGGCCGTTCGAGGATTGGAATTTCAGATACTGTGGCTGGTGGAGATGCCGCGATTTTTCGTTTTAGACACACGCCCACCTGCGCCGCTGTTGCTGCACCAACGGCTCCGAGGAGTTGCCGGCGCGCTGGCGCAACTCGCAGAGAATCGCGTGCCTCTTTGAGGCAGGTCATGAAAGAACGGCTAGAAGCCTAAACGCGCAAGATTTGTTCCGGCGGCGGGGTGCAGTGCCTCAAGACTTAACGAAAGCGATCAGGGTTGCATTCTCATGCTCGAAACAGGCAGAGAGCGGTTGGTGGCCACTAACTGTACACGTCTTACTTATAAGGGCTCGTGATCTTTTCACTCTTCTAAAGTATTACTTTCTCTCTTCATTGGCTGACATTTTTGCATTCCTGAATTCATAATTTCATCATCTCTGCTCCGTTCACTCCCTTTCCACCGTTGAACAAAGGTTGATACTCAATGTATACTTAATATGAAGAGCCCATTTTCCACTGCCAAAACTACACTAGTATCACGAGCATTTCTTGGGTCATTTGTTCTTTTTATAAAAACCCTCAAAAAAGACTACAACAAAATGTATTTCTTCCAAGGGTGTTTTTGTCTTTCTAAACTTTAGGAGATGTGAATGGAATTGAATGTGTCTGTCGTCGTTCAGTCTTTGCTTTTCTTATCTTTCCTCATTATTCATTGGTTTTTCCTAACTTTCCACAATATATTTCATATGAAGTGAATGCCCCAAAAGTCTGCGAATTTCATAAGCTGGAACATGGTTCCCTGCTTTGAAGTAAAGCTGCCTGGTGGAGAAAGACGATGTTCATGCCTACAATGCCATGCCTCCTTCCCTGCAGCACGCGCCACGAGAGGCGCAGTGGCACGGCGGCGCTGCGAGGCAACCTTTGTGTGGGTCTCTGCTTCACGCTGCCATGATCCTAGGTCCTATTGGACTGTCCTATGTGATTGAATCTGCATGCAGGAAAATGCCGGGTCGGGATGCTTTGCGACGCTTTGTTGACATGGGCATCTTCAGCAGTTGAAGCGGTGGTCTCCCATTTCATCATATTTCATCCCCTACATGTTTTTCATCTGGATCCTCTGTGGCAAACCTCTTCAACGGGGGCTTGCTCATCAAGCAGAAGTACTGACTGACAGGAAGCAGAAGCCATCATAAGTTCTGGTGCCATGTTTATAAAACCTAGCTCCGAGTGGACAATGGGAACTGAGGACTTGAGGCAATTGCCGCGATGATAGCTCTCGAAACCCTTTTGCCATGCCTTGACTGATAACACCCAGAGGTCAGTAGAACCCTAAGCCCATGGTTTCCGCCAAGGCACCCAGCTGGCAGCAGTCACTAGAGCCAGCGGTGTCCCCAAACTCCCCAAACTTCGCGGCTGGGCGGCCCGACCTTTTGAAGGGGCTTCTGAGACAATTGGGGGCACACGCGACATTTCGAAGCTGTCGATGCTCACGACTGGCGAGGAGACAACCCGAAGTCAGGATTCCAAGCTTTTCGCAGCTGAGCATTCATAAACCCCGAACTATGCGCCGCTGAACCCGCCGCCTTGATGTGAGGCGCAGGGACGGCCTGCAATGGGTGTCACTGCCGCGCGGAGGGGAAGAATCTGAAGTGCGGCCATGGCTCGAGGCGAAGGCGCAGGTGAAAATTCTCTGTGTCTTTTTGCGTGGAGTGCAGGCGGTAGAAAGTCGAGGGCGCAATGCCCGGAAATGACATATCCGCACCTACAAGGCAAGACGGAGGACTTGTGGATTCATTTTTGCCAGTGTGTCTGAGACTGGCATGGGGGCCACTGCTGCTCTGTATGCAGTTAACGAGCCAAGGACAATGCTGGCATCGCGTGCTTGTGTCTGGAGCTCCGAAGCATCCTGTCTAGACGCATTCCCATGGGTCTGGGAAGATTCTTTGCTCTTTGGGTATGTCGGTCACGCCCCATGCAAGGGACTGGAAGATAGAGCACAAACATGAGTCGCGTCGCAAAAATGGACCCGTTCCTCGCTATTACCGTGCATGTCCCGACTGGCTGTACCCGAACTTCTCCGAAGCCAGTGAACGAAACAAATTGAAACCCTTCCCAAGTCGCCCTCTGGGCCACTGCCTTGCCGTTTCCGCTTTTCCACATCCGCCGACCGAGGCTTTGTCTCGCCTGCTCCATGCCCAACCTCAACACCTTCCAAAAGACTTGAAGCCCAAGAATTGTCTGCCCAGGCATCGCAACTTAGGGTTGGTTGTCGGGCCGGCCAAATCTAGTCGAACTCGGGGGCGCAAGGCTTGTTAGCGAACTGAAGTCAGTCTCGGAGTTAGGCGAGGCCTTCCACAATTTCGAACCTGAGTGCTTAATGACTGCTCAATGAGTGCATGTTTTCCCGTCTTGACCTCAATAAACTGCAAAGCCAGCAATGCCAAATGCGCAGACCTCAACCCCAAACCTTTTCGGCGAACGTTTCGGACCCAAGTTCGCCCCTCTCAGAGCCCGCCGACCTGCACGGCAGTGGTCGGGGCGGCCATTCCTCACCAGGCTGTCAGGAAAGTCTTGATAAGCTTGTGCCTTTTGTGGTTCTGTGTGTATTTCTTGGAGACCGCTGTTTACACCACCTGTGCCTGTCAGCTGGCCACAAAAGGCGGCCCTGTTCGGGGAAATCCACGAAGCAGAGGCAAGAGGTAGGAAGTCGGGGGCACGTGCAATTCCAAGACATAAGTGTTTTTTTCAGGTTGTCTCGTGCCTTCTGACAAGTGTTTGCACTTACAGACCGGGACATCCCGTGTCTGAGCGAAGTTGCTGCATGCCTTGAATTACAAGAGCATACCGCAGCATACCGCATGAATAACAATCGGGGGACGTGCTGAAGGGTTCTAAAAAGAACCTCGCATCCTCATCCTACATTGGTCCAAGCTGAACCTCAATCTCCAATCCTAAGCACGAGACACTCGAAGCCGAAGCTGCACGTGCTGGCAGAAGCCGGGGCAACGGCCGCCGGGCACACCCACGTAGACGTACGCTTGTTGTGCGCCCTGAGAAGTTTGTGAGAAGCATGAGCAGATGGAAAAAAAAATGAATATGCACAAGTTCTGGCATAGGTTGCAGGGTTACCGCTCAACAGTGTGGATTTTTCCGGGCACAGTAGACAAGCACCAACCAGCAGCAACCCGAACTCCTCAAGATTTTTCTGAAACCCCGAAGCCGGAAACCTGGAATGCGAGAACATGCGAGAACTGTTACATTCCATGCCTAAACTGGATAAAACTTTCAAACGTGCCCCCCGAAGGCAGTGCCTGCATTGGCACCGAATCACGTGGTGAGAGTCGAAGCCCTCGCGGAAGCTGCCACTTGATGTACAAAATAGGTTTTGTACGTGGGCCGTTGACAAGGAAGCTCTGGCCCGCATAGGTGCTCAGAAGTTGTCTGCACCAGGGAATGAGGACACATGCCGCAGGGCCGCAAGCACGGTCACATCTCAACCCAAACCACTGCAAACGGCAGCTGACCCTAGGCCCAAAGCCAGTAGGCAATTTATGGATTTTTTGCTTGTGACTGATACCGCCCCTTTTGCATCGATTCCCAGCCTTCCGCTGGTGCAGGTGATGCCTGAACCGTTGAGCAATACAACTACGCGAGCATCTTTCAGGAACAGAAAAAACCGCACAGTCCACTGAAGAATGCCGTGGGACAGGCAACGGCACTCAGCTTCTGCATGTTTAGCTGATTTGTGTGGTCTCGCATTTTTCCTAGTCACCTCATTCACCTCAGGCCCCAGCATTCTGCACCCGCGGGCCTCGGGAAAGAACGTGGATAAATGCCCAAATCCGAACACACAAATTGGTCATGGCTGTGATGACGCTGTTGCAGAATTTGTAAAGCCCCTACAATGCCCGAGTGCTGAAAATTTTTCAGCTTGAACCCCAGGGACACTTCAAAATGGCACCTGGTTGCACCCAATGCCGGAAGCCCACATTCTCGTCCTGAAATTCCTTCGCTCGTTCTCAAAACGTTCACCCGTCCACAAGTAAACCTCCAAGGTCTCGGGCCAACGGACCCGACTGTGCACCGCATGGGGACGGCCTGCGCAGCCTTAGGCACGGGAAGGTCTGAAAAACATGCTGTCCGCTCCCAAATACAGCGAAAAGGTGAAAACTTACTCACCACCCTAAGCCTTGATCAGATGCGAGCTGCACAGCCGTACTTCAACCCAGACACAATCTGTAATCTTAAACCGGAAGTGCGTCTCAGGATCATCAGCCTGGATGTCGCATTCTGCAACAGTGCCTTAAACTCCACAACCCGAGGCCCAGGCATTGAACGCCGGCATCGCGGGGGCCGGTGTCATGGCAGCCGGCGACTTGAGCCTGAGGGCGTTCAGGATCTTTCAGGGCTAACAGGGTCAGTGAGTCAATGCTCAACCCCTGCAAACTCCAGGACTTTACCGTGGGCACCTCCTGGGCTGCTAAGGCTGCTCCCGAACTTTGCGAGCAACGGATCATAAACGGGGTATGCTGAAGCAGCCCAAGACCAAGCAGAAACCCTCCACCATCCCGGATTCACCCAGGCTCCGGCGTGGCGTTCGCTGGGGGGGTCCGGGCCACAGGCACCAAGACTGGCCTCTTAAAGGAATGCAACTGGTCCCATTGCAAACTATGCATCGCACGTGCAACGCAGCTGCAAGAACCAGCAAGTACTCACATTGGTCGCATCTCGATCCAGGACGCAGATCGACTGCCACAGATGCTGAAGGGAGACTGTCGGGCAAATGCTCCCGCCGCTGCGGTCGCAGTATGTTACTGCAGTCTTCGAAGCCGGAAAAAACACTGGACCGCGCCTTATGCAGGCCAATTGCGGTGGCGCAGGCTGTGGGGTGCCCGTGCCGGCCTGTCACAGAGCTCCCCCAGGTCACATAAGATTTGGAAGGTTGGTGAGCTGGACCGGACTTCGGATGTGGTACGTGCAAGGAACATAGCAGCATGTTCCTTGCGAACGGGTGCTCTCAATGGAAAGACCTGCAAAGTTGGACAACTTGGTACCCCTGATCCTGAATCCGAAAGTCAGAGCCATGCCCTGCCTGCCCACTACCTGTACGCGACCTCGTTCTCAGGTGTTCTGGGGTCGCAAGAGGAAAGGAATTCGGATGGATTCGCTGGCTTGGAAGGATCATCTGCAAATCGCATAGATGCCGGACGAGACATCCTTCATTTGCTATACTATAGACATTCCTAGACTATACAGCGACTATACCTTCACAGCTGCGCGCTCTAGCGGCTCTAGCTGTTCTCAGCGCCGTGCCCCTTCTGCAACGGAAGGACAGAGGCCACGGTGCAAAGAAAAAAACGCCCCCCTCCCCCCCACGTGGAGCAGCAGTGCGGCCTAGGCAGCGTATGAGAAAAGCCTTGGGCATGGAACTCATTGTCTTCGCACACGCTTCGGTCGTGCAACGAGAAAGGCGATCGATCGGCACGCAGAGGAGCGGCATCTAGCTGATTCCTTTTATCATGAAGCGTTTCGATTTATCACAGGCCTTGACAAACTGTTAACCTGAGGGAAAAGCGTTGATTCGGTTTTGACAGAAGCGCTTCCATCTTGCACATGTCGCATAGGGGAATTGTGACTCTGCACTCTCTGGGATTGTGGGCCACATGCTACAACAGGACGCTTCGGCTTGCTAACAGAGTGCCGAGGACGGCTATCCGCCAGATAAGCAGAATATCCGTGCCGTTTGCGCAAATTCAGCCTCAACATTGCAAGACTTGCGTCATTCGTTGCGGTTGAGAATTGAGAGGAGGGAGGTAGGGAAGAACGAGAGAGAGAGAGAGAGAGGGTTTTGTGCCCTCAGGCTTTCGAAGCACAATTTGTGCATGTGAGAATGTGTGAGGCTGCGTCCCGTGTCGGGTCTAGTACAGCAACAAGCAGCTGAAATGACCAGGAACACCGTTGGCACCAGTACTGTCGGGTGGTTGAAGCTGCCGTTGGTTGCTTTCCTTCCAAACTTGGCTGCTGGAACGGCGGCCCTAAGTCTAGTGTAGATACATCGCGCGCAGCAGCCTGATTCACCAAAGCTTGTCCCCATCCCTCACTTAAACTTTGCCGTCATGGCACAAGACAAATCCATCCTTAGATGCCGACTGAGGGGTGGCCGCGGCCTGGACGCACTGCCCAGCTGTGGCCTGTCTTTGGTTGAGCAATGGTGCAGTTGCAGATGAAACCTTCTTTTTTTTTGTAAAGAACCCAAGGTCCACAGGCGTACTTCGCATTGCTACTTCGGCATGCAGAGGTACTTCAACGTATGTTTTTTGCACAGGCACGAGAACTGTTGAACAGGAATGTTTCTTGCGAATAAAACCTTTCAAACAGCACAAAGCGATATGACGAACACTACTTTGTCCTTCCTGCTGCGCACAATCCACCGCTCGAGAGGTCCCGAACGAAAGAGGGCTTGTTACATCTTGTTACACTGTGACACCGCCCAGGCACGTCCCTGTGGAATCACGTAAGGCGCTGAATTCCCAACGCGCTCACAGGAAACTGAGCATGGCAATAATTGAAGTTGGTGACTGCAAGGGGGAGTCCGCGGGGGGAGGCTCTCATGGAGTTGAAAAGCGGCTGGTTGCTGCCAGCCGTCGTGCCACCACACA